TATATGGGATGGTTGGTAGCTTTTGTTTTATATAACTTTTTTTTATTTTTATTTTAATTAAAATTTTAGTACATATTTAATTTTTTATTTTGTACTTAATTCAGTGATGCAGATAATAACTAACTTCTTGTTATTGTTGGTGGTGATGAGTAGTAGAGTAAGTAGCAAGCAGAAAATATGAAAAGCAAATCCGGTTAATAAGATTTTTTAAACACAACTATTTCCTCGTTTTCAAACAAATAATAACTGAAAGAGAAAATGTTTAAACATAACCTAAAGTTAAGTACGGCTTTTCTTGCGCAAGTGCTCTGATATATAATAAAAAATATTCTTTTTTTTATGTAATGTATACCAACGTCTTCAGATTCTTTAAATGCTCAAAATGAACTGACTTGGAATAAATTTTAGAATAAGAGAGAAAATGATGTTCGACTGGGATCGAAACAATATCTTTTTTAGGAAGGACACACACCCACACAAACACACAAAAATAAAGAGCTCTATACAAAGATAACATTATCTGGAAAAATACCATCCATCCACAGTCAGAACTTCACTGTGTTTAATGAATGCGCGGCCTCCGTAATATGCGAATGTTTACTCGACCTATACCTACATGTGATCATAAAACTAATTAATATGTCGAAATGTAATATTCGGGCATTTTACTCTATGCGGAATAAATTTGAAAACAGTCAGATCTAACCGATTTTTATTCATTCTTCTGTTTTGTCGAAGAATTTATGATTCTACGTTTATTTCTGCCATAAAGGCCTACAAATTGGTCCACGACTACTTTTTTCTTTTTATGGCCTTCGCGACTTAGCAGCCTTGTCGTATAACAAAATAAATATTGAAAACGATTATTGCTCCGGTATATATGCCAAATTTCATGCTAAGTTACACTTCCGCTTTTGTTATGATTTGTGAGTAGTCAAAATACGGTCAGAATACGGCTGTTGGTATCAAAGCACTTTGCTTTGCTCTATTAAATATCAAATAAGAGACTTTTCACTTTCGATTGAAATGCGTTACATTAAAGAGTTTAATCGCAATTTTCTTACGAACTCGTAGTGATTCTTACTTGCTTGCCTAAAAAAAGAGCCGCCGTGTTACCAAAAATTCTGTAGAACTTCATAATTCAAAAAAAGAAGGAAAGATTCCAGGGTTTCTGCTAAATATTTTATCAATTTTTTAAAAATGACTATCCTTTACTCGTTCGAGATTCCGACTTCATTGTAGGAAGAAGGTGAGAAGACTGAATGCAGTCTATTGGATTTTCTTTGACTGTTGTTTCTATGCAAAATAAGCAAACCAATTTCATAAACATTCTGCAGTGGACATAAATGTTGTCAAATAACGAATGTATCCGCTTTGATGTAAACAACAATTCATGAATAGTGATACATCGTTCTACCTCATAGCTATGTAGTTATCATCATAAGATAGTGTGTTACTTTGCTAACGGGCGTAGGAAATGTTCAAAAAAATCTCTAGATGGAGTTGTCATTTTGCACATAAAATACTTTAATAGCGTCTCATACAAAGCTAAGGCCAAATGTAACACTTTGCACTTTACACGTATGTATTGTATGAAAACGATGGCATGGACATATTATGGAACTATGTGCAGAATGCACTTGTATATAAATTGCATACATAATATATTACATAATATACGACGCGGCATCATAATGAGGATGAGAATAATGATAATAGAGGAACTTTTGTATCTTTAAAATATGTGAGATTTTGTTTTTTTGTTTTGTGTGAGATTTTTAAAATCTTTACAATTTCCTCCTCTCATGTTAGGCGAAGCACATATATATCATGCGAATGCTGATTTTTTGCTTATTTTTTTATATTTTCCCCTTCAAAGTGTATGAATTATTCAAAAAAATCTTCTTTTGCAATAAATAAAAAAAAAAAACTAGAAATTTATACATTAAGGCGTTGTATTTAAAATAAATATTGCGCAAAAAAGTAAATGACATCATAGCTAAAGCGAAAGGAAGATGACAGAGATGATAGTATTTGATGATTGCCATGCAAAAGATTGAAACGTTAGGTAAAGTTTGCCTTCATTTTAGTTTTGATTGTTTACTCGTTTAAAGTGGAAAACTTTCTCACACCGGCGTTATTAAATATATTTACATATCTGATTGTAATCTTTTTACTTTATAAGTAGGATATTGAAAGTTAAAAGCACTAATAGTGGTAGTAGTAGTAGTAATAATCTTCAAATATCTCATCAATCATGTATTCACATAACCAAAGACTAAGAGGTTATGTTCAGTCTGTTAAATCTTCATAATGAAATGAATGATATTTAGCGAAAATTAATTTTCTTGTGAGAGAAACCTTGAAACTTCGCATTTATATTGAACAATGTCTGCTAGCAGAGAACGACTACTAATTCAATAATCTGCGCAATACACTATATCCAGAATACAAACGATAAGAATATCATAAAAATTCACTGAAATATTTTTTTCGGACGTAGCTCTATATAATCTATAGCATGCGATATAAAAGATTTATTTAAATCAGTCCAACAGCTTGCTACCTTCAACTATCATGCAATAGCTCGCATAAGATTGTGCGGAAACGTTCATGTAACGGCAAGGTAAAAACCCAATTTTTTATTAATCTAACAGAAAACGATTTCAAAAATGCAGTTTCATTGCAATGATAATGTGCTCCAATCGAACGATAAGCGTTTACGGTAAACGTGTAATATAATCGAAGCTTCAAAGCCTCACCCCGAGTTCCAGTCAATCAACGGGTATTCGGTTATATGTTAATTGTGTTCGAGAGTGAAAGGGAACACATTTCCTTAGAATGTAATAATGCTTTAGCGGCTCTTCCCCTACTCAAAATTGCATGTATTTGTTATTGCCAGTCTTATTATATTTACGATGCCAATTAGTTGTAAACAAATGACGGGCATCATAGTTTAAAAAGCATGCAGTTAGGCATGACAAATGCAACTATGGTTGAACTTAAATAATTTTGATTAACAGAAGAATGCAACATAACATCGACTATGGCTCGAAATGTAGTCACCATTATATATCTTCGCATACGTTCTATGTTAACAGTATTTATTTAAAAGGTGAAGAAAACAAATATAAATATTTTCCAAATTGTTTTTTGCTTTATTTTTAATTCTTTGCAACAATATTTAAATTGAAATATTTGTTAGTCATAGTCAACGCTATCTGTAGTTCAAGAGTATACTAAGTTTATACTAACATATATATCATGCAATGCCCATGAGGCAGGCCTATCTTTTATGAAACCTGTCTATCCGTTCGTCTATCAATGCCGGTCCATGTAATTTTGTATTCAATTATGAGGTCGCAAATTTGCAAGACACTGCATAAAACACTGCATTTTGAAAAAATCATTCCGAAATGATGCAGAGCATTTAATATTCATCCTTGACCGATTATAATAACTTCAGTTTTCTTATCGTTTTTTCAACAAACTTTAACATATTTTCATTGCATATAAGACAGCAAAAAACTAAGCCGAAAACTTTGGACACGCATGCAATAAAAATAAAAGTTTTCTAATTAAGGTGCATACTGCAATTATATACGTATACTTCATGCGAGACAAAAGTCATTAACACGCTCGCCTAGCGAAACAACAACCTCTAAAGCGACAAAACGCGTTAAGTTGTAATAAATCAAAACATTGTTAGACATATTCATTCAACAGATCGTGATCGCGGTTTACAGTGGAATGTGGAAAATGTGGAAAAATCAACAACAAACTACTCTGCCCAAATTCATTATTTAGCTGAAGGAGATTTTACGCTCGCTTATGGTTATTTGTTGTCTTGTAAGTTGAAAAGGAAAAAATATACAGTTAAGAGCTGATTATCGATGTCAGTTCTAATTAAAACAAAACATTATGTTTGTCTTTTTATCCACATTGATGCTGGACGCATTAAAAATCGCATGCAATTACGTACATTGAAATACTTTCAATGAGAAGCAATTTGACGTCATAGGAGAAAACAATGTGTTTTCAATGTGTTATTGGTTTTGTGACTTTCTATCAAATTTTGGTATTCCAGCGTAATAGTCACACAATAAACTTCTCCTACATCAACTTCGAAACTTACGAAACGCTGTTCTTAAGTCACCAAAAACCTCACCAAATAAGACAAGTGATTACGGCCACCTTATGATTTTTGCCATGACCTTAAATTATAGTTAAAGTTGAGCGAGAACGTTTATAGTCTTAGCTCGAGAGGAAAGGTTCGTTTTCTAAACCATTATCATCTAAGCTGGCCATGCACCCTAATCCGCTAATAATATTCAATACGTTTTTTAAAATACGTTTTTGATGGTTGAACGAAGGGATGCAATATTTTGTAAGTTATGCTCGAGGACTAAATCTTTGCAAATTTTCAGATCTGCTGAAATCTAATGTGGCAATTTTAGATTTATAGATGCAAGCCGTCTGTCTGCAAACGTGCAATAACAAAATTGAATTCGCGATGACAGGAAATAAACTCTTTAATGACTGCTCTTTAGTAAGCAGTTATTTATCTGAAATGTGATTTGAATACTCACTAAAGCGTCTTAAGGTTTTATTTAGATTTCTTCCCCCATACGCCCAAAAATGAACAGAAAACTTGGCGTGATGCTTAGCGCGAACTTTGTCCCACTATATTCATTGTTATCGTTCATATTTGTGATTAGATTTTAATATTTGATATACAGCATAATTATTTGTATATGAAAAATTGTCCAGTTTCAAGTACCACCCGATTTAGTTGAAGATGTGAATACAAAGAAAAAGTTTTTTTCAAAACTAATTTAAAAAGGTACGAAAGTTGTATTCGGCGTGGGATGAATCTCGCATACCCCGCACTCTGCTTTTCGCATTCTACTCTCCAAGTTCTTTTTACTTGATACCCATGTCCAACAGACGGACAGGCATAGCTAAATCAACTCAGAATTTCACGCTGATAAAGAATATATATACCTTATAGGCCTCTGAAGCTTCCGTTTGGGCGTTACACACATTAGGGAAACAAACAAAATGAGTACACCCCTCACTTTTCGGTGATAGGTATAAAAATAACTTGCATAGTATTCTTAAAGTCAAGGGAAAGTTGCCATGACGACTACCTACTTAGTTGAATTTTTTCGACAAACTTTATATAAAACGAATCCTAGAAGGCGATGACTAGAAATTATTATTATTCGCTTTCTTGTCAAAATTTTTCGTTCTTTCTCTTCAAAAGAAAAAAAATTCAGTATAATTTGGTGCTTTTGTTCAGCGGAAAAAGTAAATCGTGAAAAGCAATTGTTCAAAAGACTTTTAAAATCATTTTTCAAACTCGCTTACAATTCTAACTTTTGGAAATATGGATCTCTTTGACATACAGGAAATAGAATCAAAGCTAACCGACGTCACTGTGACCCCCGTACCGCGGTCTCAAATTCAGAATTCCCGCAATTATGAACGCGAACAGCATGAACAGCGTGAGCAATATGATGAGCAACGCAAGCAGTATAAACAACGCGAGCAAAATAAGCAACGCGAGCAACATAAGCAACGTGACCTGCTACATGGGCAATATGAACAATACATGCAATATAAACAACGTGAGCAATACAAGCAACGCAAGCAAAATGAGCAACTTGAGCACACTGGAATACAAAATACATCAACTCTACAACAACGTCCGATGCATCACTATAACAATGCAACTGTACGTGCTGCGGGTGGACAAAACTACGATCTTGTGGCTAAAGCAAAAAATTATTATCAAAACCAACTTAATAATGCTGTTGCAGCAACAGCTCTCCAATATAATCAACAATTGCAAGCTCAACTAGCTTTGCTGCAACGACAAGCTAATAACAATCTTACCATAACCCCAACTATGGGACATAATAATAATATGGGTGGCGGTTTTAACAATGCTAATAATCACACTGGGGTTAAATATGAATATCAGACTGAGTATCCCCAGTGTTCACAAGGACTTGCGACTATACCAAAATCGCCAAATATAACTACACCGATGACCGCAGCGGCTAATTTATCTACTGTGGCCGCTACCGGCGATAATCACGGTCTTGCTGGGAAATACTCTACTCTTTTGGCTCTTATCGAAGAAATGCGACGTGATATACGTCCTACTTATACGGGTTCACGAAACACAGCGGAACGTTTGAAGCGCAGTATTGTGCACGCTCGTATGTTAATAAACGAATGCCTTGATGAAACCGAAGGAAAGCCACGCCAATAATTGCCATCTTGCACGTAACCTTTACTTTTTTCTTCTTACCTTACGATTCTACAATTAACTAATTGCCATAGTTCAGCGACCTGATTTAACAGTGCTTGTGCTAATTATTATTCTTTTTCCTTTTCCTCCTCAAACAAATATTATTAAAATTATTTATTCTTCTTCACTTCTTGAATATAATTTGCGTGATTACTTAATAAAATGAAAGAAATTGTTTTAATTTCTTTAACAAATTGATTCTGGCTGTCTGTGTTATCAAAAATATAGAATACATCAACACAGATCGAGGATGATATACGGCGACGTTAACAACAACTCTCATAACAAGGCACTTAAACTAGCTTCAAATGGAATCTAGTCACCTTTAGGGCACAGATTGTTAAGAAACGAGAGCAAAATCGAATGTGTTAGCGTCAGCGAGTCGACAGTCGCGAGCACAAGCAAGGCAAGTACTAGGCAAGTATTTTTCACAAATAATCAAAGTCGTTTCCAAGAGATGAATGAAAATTAGCTGAGAAAAAATATACGGACAAAATTCTTTTTCTTTTGACCTCGCTAATGCTATGACAAGTCCACCACCACCCTACCATACACCGCTTACTCCGTGCACAATCCAAGAAATGAATAATTGAACTTTTGAACAGTTCAAGATCATGATCAGTTGTTCTTCTTTACAAAGGGTAACTGAACAATACAAACACAATCGCGATTCTAATGCAAACCACACCAGTAGATAAATAAATATTTATCCTCTCTCTGATTGTGCGCTAGTCCACAGCCTATCTTATCTAAAATCGGAACTTTGACTTATACTCGACTTCAATGGGCGGTTTAACCGAAAATTATTCTATGGTTAGAATTTATTTCTACGTCAAAGTTACTTAATTCTTCTTAAAGTCATATAATAAGGAATCTACTTATAGAAGAGTAATTGCTTACCCTTACAATTCGTTTAAACGAAGTTATTAAGATATTTAATTTTTTTTTTTTAGCTAAATAAGAAAATAAATATTCTCTAGAAAAGATTCTTATAGAAGGGAAAGAGTAACTCGCTCGCGACGGGTGCCGTCTATATGCGGCACCCCCTTGATGAATCGCCGCAGTTGATACCAACTACGTGCGATAGTCATATTTTGGTTTTTAAAGCCTAGCGCCATGCGTACACAGCGGAGCAAGCATTGAGCAACGAGATATGCCAATAACTTAGCGAACAATGCGTGCAATGGTACGTCACTAGCGCGCATTGCTGCATTCAGTTGCTCCATCGCGAAAGGCTTCAAAGTATGCACAGTATAGCACAGGTGCGCCGTCGCGAAGGATTATCAACTAGAACTAACTATCGTTTGCGGCAGCTTGCTGAAAGCTGTGGTGGAAATTTGAGCGACATTTAATTCAGAACATAACTGCAATGTCTGAAGCTAAGCTTCGAAGAACTAACGCAAAATTTCCTTTGATAAGTTGAGTTGTTTTTCTTCCTTCAAATTTTAAGTGGGATATCTTGTAATGAAAGGCGTTTTATAATTCAATGTAAATTTGCATTCGTTTTCCTCAGCATATCCAAGAAACCTTATTTATGGACCTTAACTAATGTTGCATGCACTACAGTTGGGTTTCGTGTCTTTATCCTTGATACTGGCAGAACTTCAGGCATAAGATAAATCTACAGAGGAGCAAACTTGGATTGCCGAAGCTCTTTGCAAGGAAATAGTAAAGACTCGCTTCATGGGTCTGAAACTGGGCACAAAGGTGTAACCGTGCTTTTTAAAACTATGCGAATGGAACGGGCACGGGATGGAACATTTCTAAACCTAAAACAAAAATAAGAAAGTGCTAATAGAAATTTTTTGCCCATGTGCCCTCGTTAGTCATTCTTGTCACAGTTTTTGAGACTTTTGTATTCCGATATAGTAATCATTATAAGACCATCGACGCCAATTTTCTTGTAATATCAGTGCATTTAGTGGCAAAAGCCACAAAAAAAAAATGGGTTATTCGAAAGGAGTTTAATTGAAATGCGGCTGTAAATTTGATTCCTTTTATCAAAATTACGAGGGAGGAAAAGAATCAAAGCCTTATGACAACGTTTTAGGTATGGGCTTGTGCTCACTATCGTAATGATATAAAACAGCTGTGAGCCGTAAGTATGCCATGATGTGTTCGTAGATATAAAACAATTTTCAATAACGTGTAATAAATGTGTGGCTTTCAATAGAATCACTTAATTACAATAGTTTCCCACAATTAACAGTTATTGCATTAAACAAAAAAAAAAGAGGAAGAACGAATACTATTAAAATGTGAATTAAGTGTTGGCTACAAAAACAAATAACATGAAAACGTCTTTCTACAACGACCACAAACTCGTGCATTACATCTACACGCAAATAATGGGGATTGCAGCACCCAGTCAAATGTGCCTCATTGAGAATGCGTTAGAGCATAAAATTTAAACAGGTTTTGCATAAAATATGAAAACACCAACATAGGAGGTTAGTGTATACACTTTGTGTACAAGAAATAGGTAACAAAGTACCTGCAATAGTACAAAATACATATACATGTAAAGTGTGTCATAGAAATAATTCTTTCCAATAAACACAAAGACGATTTCATAATGTTAAGTAAAACTTGAGTAATAAGTCTTTTGACGAAGTAAGGCAACCATCATTAGGAGAAAAGCACTTGGTTCTTTAATATTAAAAAATTGGTTTATTCACTTTCTTTCTTACCTTTTAGTGGCAGTTTACCCGTTGCCGGACTTGCTGTCATGAACTTTTGATTCGATGCTGTTGCACTCTTAACGCTGACAACGCTATTACCGCTTGTTGGTGAACTGATCGTTGTTGAAGTGCTCGACTGTGTAGCGGCTGTTTGCCCACTGGAACCGTAACGTTTTTCTAAAATAAAGCAAAATTAAAGCATATTTTTAGGATGCTAAGAGAAAAAGCTTTACAAGAATAATTTGCAAATGTTTACAGACATTGCGTGAGAAAACGCACGCAAGCACAACCAAACACAATTATACACACATACGCATGCATTACGTCTAAGTTTTATAATAAAAAGTTTCTCATGAAAAGAGGAAAAAAGAGTTTTTAACACGTACGTACGATTTATTCTTCTCTTTTTCTCTAAAAGTGAATTTTCATACAACTTACGTCTATAACTTTTAATAAACGTCCGTATGAACGCTCCGCAAAACATTTTCAATTGCATATGATTTCCAAAAGTTGTATTCTTTTTTTATTTTTATTTTTTATTTTTTTTTTTGTCTTTATTTACTATATCCAGTGGCGTTGGATTCTTTTAGTGAAGATGATTAGAAAAAAACAAACTCAAAACCAAATAGTTGCGATAGCAGTCTTGCTGGGTTAAGTTAAAAATTTTTGCAATAGTCTTCCAAAAAACTTTTCTCTTTTTTTTTTGAATTTACGCGAATTTAAAAAATTTTTTACAATTTATCGAAAATTTTGTCTCAAAAAATGTCGCAAATCAAATTATCACAGCTTTTTCTCCAACTGCCAACCGGCAAGCCAAATTTTGAATGATATTCAAAATATAAAAATTTTATTATTTTTGTTTTATTTGAAATTTCGAAGTCGTTTTAACAGCTGTCCAAAGAAATACCATGCATCGGGTTGTAACAATTAATCAGCTTAGACGAGAAACCCGATATTCGTAATAAATGAAAAGTTTAGAATTAGTGAACATCTCTCTTAAAGAGTTGATAGCACCCCACATATGCTATGCAGAAAAACCCAGCGAATTGGATGAAGTTATCTTTAGTTATTTTAGGTGAAGCTGACATTTGCATTTTGTAGTTCATTTATTCAAAGCTAATAGTCTTCGTTTCAGTATCGTTGGCGAATGTGAAAATTTTCATCTTTGGTTTTATCTTTCTAGCTTTTTAATTATAGTAGTGTCGGTATCGTACTACATACCAGCATTAGTTATGATGCCTTGAAGATCCTTTGTTTGGAAAGAAGCTTGAAATTTGTTGGAATAAGCACAGTATGTGTTCTTAAGAGATACTAGTAGATAGTGATATATCCCGTATGTAAATATGAAACCGGACTTTTCTTATATATATTGTCATATTACAACGTGTAGAGGATGTACATGTCCCAAGCTCTAAGAAGCATTCGTCATCACGATTGTTGTATCATAACTGTGGACGAAAACTGGATCTGTTTTGAGAACGGCAGGCGAAAAGATCCATGAGTCGATCTAGGTGTACCATTCACATCGATTGTGAGAGCCAACCAAGACTTTTGCTTATGCTACATACTTTATGGCGTCTACGTTATGTGTTTCAGAAAATACAAAAACAGACAGACAATGCTAGTATACCCCATTTTATGGTCGTGAGTACAAACACTGTACGCTTATCTGCTCAAAAAGCATACAATCGTCAGCTGTGTTGTGTCATTGATCTATATTTGACATATGCAGTTAGATGTCACTTAATATAATCTATTTCTCCAGAGCTTAATGAGAAGCAATGGTAGTTTGATTAATATCACGAACAATAAGGATGGAGATATGGATAGAGAAAGTATACATTGCCGGTATATAGGTGTATGGGTTTTTGGTTAATCAGCAATTCTTAAGATTTCTCTATCAGCACACGACGTTCATTCAAGTTATTTCGGCCTCTTTGCAAATTTAACACTGGGATTACTGACCATCATTAACATCGTGATAGAGACCTGAACTTCCTGTATAAGAAAATTTTCATTTTTTTTGTACAAAGATTCTTTTAACATCTTATTCCTCCTATTATAACATTAACACGATTTTGTAGAAATAAATAGAAGAACATTCTACTATACTTAATGATTGGCAATACATCTCTGTCAGCTGCTTTAATACAATCTCTATTAATTCTTCAGGTGCTCCAACAAAGATATCCATGAATGATGCTACGACGGTATTTATTTATTTATCTTTTGTGTTATTTCTTCCGTTTCTGCTTATAGCTTACAACACAACGAAAAACCGGTTTCACTGCATTTAATGCTTTGGCCAAATTTAGACAGCTCGTGGAATCTGCATTTGAGTAAACATCCATATCTACCTAATGCTGCCTACTACCATACACAGCTGTTGTTCATTTTTTGTGTACGATTTGTAAAGCTGTTGTTGTAATCTTTAGTAATTTAAGAAGAGTAAGGGAATACCATAATAAACAAACACCTGTTAGCAAATGCAAAGCTCTCTTATATCTCTAAGAGTAAGAGATCGAGAAAGGAAGACGAGAGAGATAGAGAGAGAAAACTAAATAGAGAACGCACGATCACTCATAGAGGTGCGGACTCTTTCAAATCATTTAAGAGAAATCTCTCTTACGCTATTACGTAAATTTATGAAAAGCTAAAATATAAAAATAAAAATCAAAAAATATAGAAATAATTTACAACGCAGAAGAATATTAACATTTCTGGCTCTTTCTTAAGCATTTTCTAAAAAAAAATCAGGTTTTTCTTATTTTCTTCTTTACCGTATCTAATTTTAATACAGCTGTGTGGCCAGCTTAGAGAAACTCAGTAACAAAAACTAAGCAAATCAAAATATAATACATAAACAAAATAGTTATGACCTTATTTTTTGAGAAAGTGTTGTAGATTCTACTTTATATTTTCAACTTATGTGATGATCATATTATTCAGTAGAGGATTTTTTATATGCACTCATAAATTCGCAGAATAGGTAAACGTTTTTGTTTATTTCGTCAAAATCATGTCATTACATGTGAGTAGAGTTTTCATTTTAACTTTGCCGCTTGCATTTAACGCTTAAATGCGTGTGGGCTTCATTGATTCAATCAACGTAATTCTTGCATTGATTAAATCTTAAGAGATGTTCACCAACAGAACAGAAGTTGTAAACAATCAGCAATTATGTGTGGGCTTGCATGAACATGCATATTGCCTAGTCATTACTTTTTTTTCTGTATTGAAGATTTCTCAAGCCATATATTAATAGCCTACACAAAAACTATGATACATAGGTAGCGATAATGTGTTAAGAATGTCTCACTAAAAGATGTGTAAAATTATTTACCTATTTTTTCCAATATGCGCGTGAAGTTAGAAAATACAAAAAATTTTATCCGAGATATCAAATTCGATCAAAAATTACGATGAGTTTTCATTTCGGGGTCATTACGAAGTCATGAAAGTATTTTTGTTTTCTAGTGCATGAGTAGCGCTGCGGAGTTACACGGGTTTTTGTAAACATTTTGTGTCATCTCTTTCGATTCCATCGAACAAAAACTTGATTTCGCTACAACGCAAAAAAATATTTGCAAGTAGTACAAAGGATTCAAAGAGGACCACTTATAAATTCAAGGCGAAAAATGTCCCGGACGGCTATCAACAATATCTATCGACAAAAGTCGCATCAAGGAAATTAAATATTTAGTGTTTAAAAAGAATTGATTAACGTTGACCGCTTTGAAAACAACGATTTGAAACGATTGAGAAGATCCGAATCGAAGAAAATATGCAAGACTTCTTGAATTTCTTGGCTGTTTCAACAATTGGAAAGATGCGTTGTCATAAGTGCATTCTGTCGGAGGTGGAGTATTTTGAAGCCGAAGAAATCCATTTAAGAGGATGAGTAAAGATTGTTATTTTGCAAAACAAATTCACCTTACTTTTCGATCATAGCAATATATGGGTTTTGTTCCTTTACAAAATGTCTTTATATAAAGAAATTTAAAAGGTAATCCAAAAAAAAA